TGGTAACCTGTCATGTTGCCTTGTTGAATTTGGTGACACTGCTGTATTCAGCTGTTCATATCAGAGCAATCACACCAAGATGCTTTCTAAAATACAGAAGAGACATTTAGACATCAAAAGAGTGAATTAGAGGAGCATCACAGACAGTCTTTGTGTCTTTACACCTTTTAAACTATTTTAAAAGGTGGTAAGTAAAAAAAAAAATAGATTTACATTTTTTGGAGATGTTCATTTATTTATTTATTTTTCAAAAGTGCTCTTACGTGAAGCACTACTCTAATATGCAGTATTTTATTCATATTATTGATATTTAGCCACCTCTACTGCACATTATAGAGATCCATGATCCTAAAGAAGCTCCAGTCTCTGAGGAACAACTGGAGAAGGATGTCCCTCAACCTCAAACTCTCGTTAGTTCCACTGAAGATGACAATGCAGAAGAACTGGACAACAGTAGTAATGCAAAAAATGCATTCAAAAATATATATTTTAATAGGCCACATTTTCTGGCGTTATGAATTCAGCTACAAGCTAGGTGAAGGAGGATTTGGCTATGTGCATGCAGGGACTCGCTGCAAGGATGGCCTTAAGGTTTATTTTTATTTATTTATTTTTTTTTACTTACAAAACTTTGCATATCTGTTCAGTATTCATTACTGGACTGACGTCTATGCACATGCTAATTGTTAATTCTTTGTTTTGCTGATCAGGTGGCTGATAAAATTGCAGATGAGACACCATATATGCCATATATTACACTGTAAAGAATGATCGTGATTTTAACGGTAAAAAACTGTGAAAATGCTACAGTAAAAACCTGTTAAATGGTTAACGGTAAGTTCCCATACTATAAATGGTGAAAAACTGTAATAGACATTTCATGTAATTTTACGGTAAAATAAAATTTTTGGAAGTGAAAAAGAATGTATAATTTACAATGAAAAACCGTAAATTGACATTCCCAGAATTCCCTGCGTTGCATTTCAAATTTGATGTTGTTTCTTTGAAATAATTATGTTTCTTCTTAGTTTTTTCTTATCAGTTATGTTTATTAGGGTTGTATGTTACATCTAATGATGTTAAATGAATGTTTATTGCATTTTTCAGTTTCATTACCATGATTGTGTTTAGTGTTTGTGTGAATGACATTGTGCTCCTTCTATAAATATATTAGTATTGACTTTCTCAGCTTGTGGTGAGCTTTGGTTTTAACATGTGACTTTCTCATCACCCCCTGATTTTGGTGGTTCTCAGTGTATTACAAAGGTACAAAACAGATTTCAGAGCTTCAATAGGTTGGTATATTAACATTATATCAGTTAATGAAATACGGTTTTTAATCTTTTTTTAAAATCCGTAAATTCTAAAACGTTGCTACCGTATTTTTTACGGTAAAATTCTGGCAACCACAGCTGCCAGTTTTTTACCGTAAATTTTACGGGATTTTTTTTTTACAGTGTAGCGTTTTGACTGCTCTCTCTATATTATTGCTTCTCAGTCACGGTTTTCAATTTATAACATCTTATATTCATGTTAATCTGAGAAACCACCTCCATCTGAACATCATATAGGCTATTATTTGTTTTAGCCTGGTCATCCCAAACGCCTCCCCATGGAGATCGGGAGATGCTGCTCCATGACTGGTTTAAGGTACTAAGAGTAGAGTCTAGATTTGCTAAATGTTTTTTGTTTTTTTTCATGTAATCATCCCAAACTTTTGAAAAACTCAAATTTGCTCTCAATGTAACATGTTTAGGTAGACAACACTGATTTATGTTTTTGTTTCAGGTCAGTAAGATCTATGGTCATTGAAAAACATGGCGAAAAACAGCTTTGTCATGGCCACACTGTTTTCTGTTCAGACAGTTTTGCATCTGTTGGGCCGACATGAGTAGCCTTTCCTTCCTTACACTTAGGCCTTATAGCAACTTGCTAAGAAATTTGTAATTTGTATGATATTTGTAAGACATTTTAGGAAAATTTACAAAATTTGTAGGAAAATTTATAAGAAAATGTATAGGAATAGTATAATTTTGTATAAGAAACCTTAAGAAATGTATAATTTATTTATAAGAAATGTATAATTGCATAGGTAATTTATAAAGGTAGGTAATTTATTTTTGTATTGCATATTGTTTCCTTGTGGAGTTTCATACACTCCCCCTTTTTTAAAATGCAAACTGTTTAAAATGCAAACTGTTATGAAGGTCAGTCTTCATACAGTAGCATTCAGATGGATGGATGTTTTAATGAATACAACAACTGATACATAAATAACAATCAGAAAAGTTAAACACAAACAGAAAAACACAACAACATTAAAGCAACACTTGAAGTAGGCCTAAATGAACCTGCTTTACAGCGATAATGTGCACGAGAGTCAAGGACATGTAATGAACAGCGACCTCTTGTCAGCTTTCTCAGATCACCAAGGTAGTGATAAAAAATGACTTGATTTTGCTCATGTCCATTTAATCGTTTATTGAAGGGCCCCACCGCTCTTAGACGCGCTCTTACGCACTTTGTTGTTCTGAATTATATATATATTTTTATGGATCGTTTATTTATTTATTAGTGGTGCTTGCTTGCAATCGCAGAAAGTCCCAACCATGTTCAACAGACACAAGCATAGGCTATGCGTTTTAGAAAGAGTTACAGTGCGTTTCCTACAGAGGGCACACGCGTTCATTTGAAGGTGGTCATTGCACTGTTTTTTTTTCTGAGATATTTTATGTATCCATAGGAAGAAATTGTCTTTTTTTTGTAGCTTAAAAGGCATTTATTGCATGTCAGTTGTATATTACCTCTCTCTCCCCCTTTCTCTCAGACACATTAAATCTCTATAGAAAATAACCAGAGGACCTTTAAACTTTACAACCTTGTTCATAGCAACCTGCTTTTCAAATATCTTTACAGTTATCTTTATGTGGCTTTAATCAGATCTACCCAAGATCCTCATTGATTGCTTTATGATACAATAGTAAAAATAAAAAAAATAAAAAAAATGCTGTGTGCATTTAAATATGCATCATTCATGTATATATTGCTCAGTGACTCTTTTTTGGGGTCATTTTGAAATTTTGGCTTATTGAGGCTTACAGCCAGATTTGAAAGTTTCACCAAGTTTACATTTATTTGAACTGTAAAACAGAGATATTATTACAATTTTAACTTTTTTCTGTTTAATGTATTTTAAACAGTAATATATTCATGTGTTGGTAAAGCTGAATTTTCAACCTTTAGTGTCACACGATTCTCTAGAAATCATTCTAATATGCTGAGTCTATGTTCACAAACATTTCTTACTTTTTATCAATGTTAAAAACTGTTTTTAATATTTTTGTGGAAACAAGCTACTTTTTTAGGATTCATTGTTGAATAAAAAGGTCAGAAGAACTTTATTTTTGTAATAATGTAAAAATTGTAATGGTTACTTTATTTGTAAAAGACTTTACTGACACTTTTGATCAGTTTAATGCATTCTTGCTGAATAAAAAATACTCTAATTTTTTAAATATATATAAATATTTATCATTTTCCACTTATATTTACTCAGAATCTCTTTAATATAACTCTCACCTACTGACTATTATTCGTTTGTTTGTTTGGAGAACATTTTAACTAAAGAACCATTCAAAAAGCTCTTGTTCACTGTGTCTGACTGACCGCCAGTAGTCCGTTAGATGCTGAAATGGCTCCGCCTGTTACAGAAAGAAGTGGGAGCTGCACTAAAGGGGGCACAAGTTTACTAATTAGGGCACATGATGTACCACAGCCTAACCAACGCAACAGCCTGAAATATAACTCGAGGAAAGACACTGTATTGTAACTATACTTTACCTCAGCCAATTGTATGAAGGTAGAATGACGTCAAAAAGATTTGCATACGCAGGGTAATATTTGTGGAAGTGTACATAAGACTGTAAGCGTAAATTAAATTTGCATGCGCAAGAGAAGCTTTGTAAAGGTGTAAATCGCGCTTCAAGCGCAAGAAAAAATTATTTGCAGCATTTTACTGTTATTCGTAAGTGTAATTCATGTATTGTGAAACTGCAGCGTCATGCTAACGCAAAATAAATATGATCTGCATGCTTCTGACTTCCATGTTTCCGCGCTTACACTTTTGGCACGTTTTTTTTCGCCAAAAGACGGTCAAAAGCACGGCAAACCTGTGAACAGTGATTTGCAAGCGAAAACAACAGTTTAAAGAACTGCAAAACGGATTGACTGCATAGAACCAATCTGTATGTGTACAAAACTAACTGTTGCAAATGATGTCTAAATGACTTGCTGTGTATGTGGGGCAAAAAGTTCCCGAAATAAACCGATATGTACAGCTCCATCTTTCTTTTTGATGTGTTTATTGGACCAATCAGATAAGAGTAAATGGAGTCAGCGAGAGGCTCATTTGATTGGCTACAAGAAGAAGGTGGCCCCGCCCTCCCCCTCAGGCTTGCCAAACTCAGTGAGAGAATCGTGCCAAAATTGTAAGCGCAGCGAAAAGAAAGACGGAGCTGTACATATCGGTTTATTTCGGGAACTTTTTGCCCCACATACACAACAAGTCATTTAGACATTTGCAACAGTTAGTTTTGTACACATACAGATTGGTTCTATGCAGTCAATCCGTTTTGCAGTTCTTTAAACTGTTGTTTTCGCTTGCAAATCACTGTTCACAGGCTTGCAGTGCTTTTGACCGTCTTTTGGCGAAAAACACGTGCCAAAAGTGTAAGCGCGGAAACATGGAAGTCAGAAGCATGCAGATCATATTTATTTTGCGTTAGCATGAAGCTGCAGTTTCACAATACATGAATTACACTTACGAATAACAGTAAAATGCTGCAAATAATTTGTTCTTGCGCTTGAAACGCGATTTACACCTTTACAAAGCTTCTCTTGCGCATGCAAATTTAATTTACGCTTACAGTCTTATGTACACTTCCACAAATATTACCCTGCGTATGCAAATCTTTTTGACGTCATTCTACCTTCATACAATTGCTTTCGTTAGTTCGTTAGATGTGCGGCGTTCGTTTCTATATTAACAGTTTAGGAGTGTGTAGCTCCGCATAAACCACATCATCTGATGCATGTGTTGGGTCTCATGTGGCACATCGATCCGCCCGGTTCGGAGTCAGGGATTCTTTGTCATGAAGTAGAACATTAACCCAAGAAGGTTAAACAGCTTTAACAGCAGCGTGAGGCGGATGAGTTTTCACTCTCTGTGGAGGGACGGACTTCGACGTAGTGCTCAGGAATCCACTAGATGTTGAGTGTCCAAATACACACTTGGATTCATTGAAGACATGGGGAAAAAGAAGGGTAACGAGGACTGTTTTTAAGTTTGAACTCTTTCAAATGCTTTTAATAAATGTCTTCGATGTGACAGCTTCAAAAATGTTGGAGTCGACTCTGCGAGACGTCCTTGTTTTTTTGCAAATTGGATTGAACATTTTTGCAATTTTTAGAGTTAAAAGTAGTTGTGAAGTTTAATATTTCCGTATAAACCAACTTTGCGACATGCATATATCACGTATATGAGAATACCAATGCGAAAATAAGATGCACTGCCAAATAATCGATGACAGGAATGTTGAATGCAACAGTGGCGCCTGCGGGAAAAACAATGTCGAGTTACAGACTTGCAAGCAGTGGAAATGTGCGCGACTTAATGTGGCGTTATCAACTGCATTCTACCTAAACAAATAAAAAGTGCACTGCAGGATCTGGCCTTTTTTCCCTGTTGGCTAGGGTAAAACCTGCACTCTAAAAAATGCTAGGTTAAATACAACCCAGTGCTGGGTAAAATAGGGACAAACCCAGCAATTGGGCTGTTTTGACCCAGCGGTTGGGTTACTACCCAGAAGGCTGGGTCAAACATTTAACCCAACCGCTGGCTCAAAACAACCCAATTGCTGGGTTTGTCCCTATTTTACCCAGCACTGGGTTGTATTTAACCCAGCGTTTTTTAGAGTGTGGAAGCACAGTTTTAAAAAATGATAAACATTATTGAGTGATATCAGATTTAAAATTCCACACTTATACTACCTGATGTTTGTCTTATCGTTTCTGCTCTAGACAAAGATGTTGATGCAGAGGACCATGGAAAAGTACAGCGCTCATCGGTGAGAGTTATTTATTTCACTTTTTTTTCGTTACAGATTGGAAAATGTAATTTTAGTTAACAACTCAACATAACTTGCCTTTCAGACAGGAATACAGGTATCTGAAGTCACTATAGTTTGTAAAGCTACTAAACAAGATAGGCCTAGACAGAGTACAATATTGTGCAATATTCCAAACGTTAGATGACATAAACAAAACAAAGGAATTCAACATGGGGGCATTTTTGTCACGTTCTGTGTCATTTAACCATCCATGGTTAATTTTTCACTCGTACTATCATTTTATTCTGATAAATGAAATAAAAGATTGAATTTATGATTAGGATATTGTTAACTATCTTTTATTTTCTTTCAGTGTCAATGTGACAAGCCTGTTTGTAATCAAATGCTTCTTTGTTTTGCGCTCAGAAATTATGTGGCACTAACTACCCAGTTAGCATTGCCTTCATTGTGGTCAATGAGTTCTGTGAAAGATTCTCTTACTATGGAATGAAAGGTAATTAAATTGAAAAATTAATCGCTCTAATCTGATATCACTTTTCTAATATATTAATGTTTTCTCTAATGATGTATTAATTATTATGCATCTTATTTATAAAGCGGTGCTCACGCTTTACTTCATCCACTACCTACATTGGGACAAGAATCTGTCTACAGCTGTGTACCACGCTTTCTCAAGCCTGTGTTACTTCACTCCAGTTCTGGGGGCCTTGATAGCCGACTCATGGTTGGGGAAGTTCAAGTAAGTCATGCTGTGTTAAGAAACATCCTAACTTAGAGTCTTATCCTATCTGCTTAGTAATGCTTATTGTATTGTAATTTTACATAAGATTTGAAAAAGTTCTATTTCTTAAGAATTAGGATAAGTTTCTGAAATACAGCCTGTAGCATTGTACTTAATACTCAATTTTTTTGTCCTGTTCACAGAACCGTCATCTATCTGTCTATAGTCTATGTGATTGGTCATGTGGTCAAGTCTGTCGGTGCCATTCCTGATGTGGGGGACAGCACTGTTCATGTGTAAGTTTCTTTTGATGCTACTGTGAGACCATACAGTAAATCTGCTTCAAGTGAAGTAAATATTTATTTTATGGAAGAGGAAGGAAGGACAAATACCATTTTTTGGATAGAAAAATACCATTTTGTTCTTTCCTTGTAGAGTTTTGTCAATGCTTGGTCTGGTCCTCATAGCTTTTGGGACAGGAGGGATCAAACCATGTGTTGCAGCATTTGGTGGTGACCAGTTTGATGAAGAGCATGTAAGTCACAATATAAAATAATTTCAGTTACCGTGGCCCCGTTCACACCTGTCAAATTCCATAAATGTAAAAATGTGCTCATTTCAAAAAGTAATTTTTAATAAAACACAGTAAAATCTGAGATTGAGCCGAAGTGTTGTACAGTAAAATTACAGGGAAAAAATTACATATTATAATATTTAAAAATCTAAAAGTGTGATTTTATTTTTTTTAAGAATACAGTCATTTTGGTTATTACAAATCTAATTGACATGGGCTAAAAGACACACCTTTTGATTTGATTGTGTCTAACTTCTTTTAACCCTTTTGTATTCAGACAGAAGAGAGGAGAAAATTCTTCTCCATCTTTTACATGTCAATCAATGCTGGAAGTGTCCTGTCCACCATTGTCACACCAATACTAAGAGGTCAGTCTCAAGATAAGCTTCACTGATAAGGCTGCATTTAATCTTTTAAAGAAGTATGTGGCAGTCATAAAGTGTGATTATCATGCCAATTAGAGAAACCTTAGATCATCATTACACTCAAACTCCACAGGCGATGTGAAGTGCTTTGGAGGAGATTGCTACGCCCTGGCCTTTGGAGTTCCTGCGGCTTTAATGGTCATTGCCTTAGGTGAGGGTCCTCTCAATTTTTAGAGAGTTTGAGGTGGAAGAATGGAAGCAATTTGGGAAGAATTGGTAATCCTAGTGGATTGTATTTGTGAAACCAACTCTTCACAGTAGGCATGTATATGTAACTCCTGGCCATTTATTCTGAAATCCCAGTATGTTATGACAGCACATTAGCGAACCCCATTCACTGTGCCATGAATCCTGTATAGAAAGAGAAGGGATAAAGCCTTTGTCTGGAAACTGTATGGACCATATACACATACAGTGGATATTTATATAGGCCTATAAAATTTATTTTCGTGTGGCAGAAGTGCCAAATACATTTTGGGGCCTCTATATGTTGGCTCTTGCTTTGTGCTGGTTACTATTTGTATAGTTGCTTTGGATAAAAGTGTCTTCTAAATGCATAAATGTAAATGAATTTACCATCTCTTTGTTCATTTAGCAGTAGAATATATTTTAAAATAGAGAAATATAATTTTTGCCAACAAATTACGGCTTATATGAAATAATATTTGATTATTACTGCACTCTAGAGCAGTGTTTCTCAACCCTGGTCCTGGGCGCCCCCCAGCACTGCACATTTTGTGTGTCTCCCTAATCAAACACACCTGATTCAACTCATTAGCTCATTAAAAGAAACTCCAGGACCTGAAATGGGTGTCAGATAAGGGAGACATACAAAATGTGCAGTGTTGGGGGGCGCTCAGGACCAGGGTTGAGAAACACTGCTCTAGAGAAAAGCATGCTATTTCTAAATCAGTACTTAGGGTCCCTTTATCTCCCTCATTTAACTCATTAGGCATGTAATTAACTTTGCATCTATTCACCTAGTGGTATTTATTGCTGGAAGTGGGCTATATAAGAAAAGTCCTCCAGAAGGAAATGTCCTGGTGTGTGTCTGCAAATGTATTGGGGTAAGTAAATCTTGTCAACAGCTTTCTTTAATGTGTTACTGAAGGACCTGGAGCACGAAAAGAAGGCTAATGGTCATCTTTTACTCTGTTTTTACCAGTTTGCTATACGCAATCGATGGAAGAATTCCAAAAAGAGCCCAAAAAGGAGTCACTGGCTGGATTGGGCAGAAGAGAAGTACCCGGTATGTTTCAGTTGCTGTACAAGCCAAATCTAGCAAGTTGAAATCATGTTGCTCCATCTACCAAATTACATCACGATTTTGATGTTTTTACAGAAGCGGCTCATTCAGGAAATTCAAATGGTGTTCAGGGTGCTGGTTCTCTATATTCCATTGCCCATGTTTTGGGCTCTCTTTGACCAGCAGGTAAAAGGATATATTCAGTTCATATCCTTTGTATTTTCTAATCACTCAAATTATGGTTGCAGTATTTCACTTAAAGGGCCAGTACATCCTCAAATGAAAATTGTCATTTAAGGAATAAGGAAAATTTCTTGATTCCTTGTGTTCTTTGTGAATTCCTTTTAATATCGGAAAATGTCTGAGTCTGACGGACATAAGGAACCAGTGGAAATTGCTCTTCTGATCACAGCACTTTACAAGGATCAGAGAATAATCCAATGAGAAATATAATAAGAAGTTAATTTAGAATTGCTCTCTTTGTTCTATGCCAGGGTTCACGCTGGACTCTGCAAGCCACTCGAATGAACATGGATTTTGTAAGTCCTTTCTTGTATGACCTCCAGTAGAAAGACATTAATACTTTATTGGAATCGGATTATCACACCCCATTTCATAATATTATTTTGTTATTCTAAGTAACTGAGCAATATGACAAGTAAGATAACATGATGCCCTTGAAGTGATCTGATGATATTTTTTTTGATAACAATATACAGGCTTTGACATCGTCACTATTGAATCCAAAGGTTATAAATATCTAACATTTTATTGCAGTTCTTGTTGTAGAAATTCAAATGCAGATTTTTGTTTTTGCTTTTAGCCTATGCATAACTGTTTTGAAGATGACCGTAAGACAATTTACTCCTGAATGATGATAAAATGGTCTTCAAAATCAGAATAATGGGTTCCTAATTTGTTTTACAGGGTGGAGGCTTCATATTAAAGCCTGATCAAATGCAGGTGAGACAAACAGACAGAAAGATCACCATATAGATGCATACATGCATATGCTACAGCCATTAGTCATTAGGTGTTCATGATTTGATTTTTAATATTTGATGATATAAAATATTTAAATAATAGAATATTTTATATAATTTTTGCTTAAAGACTGGCATAAAGTGTAAATTAAGTTTAATAAAATCAAACACTATATTATCTATAATTTAATCTTTTTTTGTTTTTAATTTTCCATCTGAACTTGTTTAACATTTTTCGGAATTTTGAAACTTTTTATTTTCATATTTTAAAAAAATAATAATAAAAAAATGTATATAAAATAAAACCCCAAATTTTCAATTTGGTCTCAGACTTTTGGACCCTACTGAACACTTAGCTTTGTATATACAAAATAAATCATTACATTTATTATTGATTATATTAATTGAAATGTTATACAGGTTCATTTGACGAAAACGGTTTATTGAAGCTCTCAATTCTAAATATTTACTGCCTCCTGCTCTGTTGTAATGTCATATAAAAATGACCAGTCAGTTTATGACAGGTTGTAAAAACCTAAGCAACAAAATTTGATTGTTATCACCTTTATAATCAATGTCTTTTCTGCATGTAATGGTTATAGTGTCATTTAGTGGGTGTTTGTTTCTGTGTTGTTAAGATGCTGAATGCTTTGCTGATTCTGGTGTTTATCCCGATCTTCGACATGGGCATATACCCGCTGATAGGGCTGTGTCGGATCAAACTCACGTGAGTGCTGTTTAAATGCACAATCACATAAAAAAAGACATATTTCAATACCTATCTACCTACCAATACCAGTCTATATATATATATATATATATATACACACACACACACACACACACACACACTGAAGTACCTGCTTGAAAGGATGTTTCTTGATTCAACATTTGTGAGATTGTACACACAATAAGAAATAAAAATTAATACACAAAATGTTGTTTACAGTTGTGCATTTTTGATGGAAAACATTAGACCAGGGGAAAATGTTATAGTATAACCTACCATAAGATATAAACATTATTTGTGTTAACAGGACACTTAACTAACCTAGTCTGTGTTAAGTTCTATCCAATTTTCCTTGTTCATTTTCAGTCCACTAAGAAAGATGGCTGCAGGCATGATCCTTGCTGCACTTGCATTCTGTGCTGCAACTGTTGTAGAAATCAACGTCATTGTATGTACATTTTCAAATATTGCGTCTAAAGAGCTTCTGTGGAACCACTAAAAGCAGTCATTTAAAGCTCGTCAACATTAACTGAATGTTACATTTCATCTCTCTGGCCAGAAATCTGTTGTGGAGCCACCTCCTGCCAAAGAAAGCCTTGTTCAGGTTTACAATCTTATGGATTCAGAGGTCACCGTGCAGTTTCCAGGACAGACTGTCCTCTCAGATCCACTTAAATCATATGAGGTAACGTCACTACAGACAAACACTGATTGCATTTTACGATGTTTATACTTAACATACTTATAATGTCTTTTCTGTGTATATTACCATAATACACTACTGTTCAAAAGTTTGGTTAAACCAGTACTTATATTCATCAAGGATGCTTTAAATTGATCAAAAGTGACAGAAAAGTGTCAAACGATTAATCGCATCCAAAATAAAAGTTTTTGTTTACATAATATATGAGTGTGTACTGTGTATATTTATTATGTATATATAAATACAAACACATGCATGTATATATTTAAGAAAATGTTATGTTTATATATTAAATACATTTATATATAATATAAATGTATATACATGTAAATATTTTCAAAATATATACTGAATGTTTGTGTATTTATATATACATAATAAATAAACAGTACACATACGTATATTATGTAAACAAAAACTTTTATTTTGGATGCGATTAATCGTTTGACAGAACTAATATTTACGTTAAGAACAAAAACAGTTCTGGACTTTCAATTCATCAAAGAATCCTGAAAGAATAAGTATCACTGTTTTATAAAGTATACACTTTATTCAAAAACTTTGAAAATCTCACAAACCCCAAACTTTTAAACAGTAGTGTATAGAATACATCAATATTACTTGACATAAGAGTGAATATGATCTTATGTCATACAGTTCCAACTCTAAATTCTGATTCAGAGCCATGATTGAAGACATTCTTGTCATGCAGGATCCTTCGGGATACACAAGTCTTCCGCTTACTGGCGAATCCCAGCTCTACACAGTTACTGTCACTCACAATGGGGCCGAATACCAGTGTGGACTCACGTTCACAGAACGGACTACCTACAGTCTCTTCCTGCACACTGCACAACCTGGTGACACTGTATGCAAACTGGTGAGCACCTGGTTGTGAAATTTTATTTCAGATTTCATCAGCAAAGATTGTAACAGCATATACATTATTATACATTACAATACATAATTTGAATGATTTGAATCGTTATTAAACTAAATACAGGTGAACGATCACATCACCAAATCTGAAACCGGGGCTGCGTATCTAAGGTAAATTAATACTAGCAGGACATTGTTTTATATTGTTTAAAGTTACTGTTTAACAGCTTTGTTAAACTTTAGTGTTTGCTGCAATTATCAATACCTTCAAGCTAACCATTGACAAAACAACTGACATTATCTGAAATCATTTTCAGTACTCTTTTGTCTTAGAATATTTTACTTTTGCAGGTTTATCAATACTCACACAGAGAATATCAACATAACTGTTGGCACTGATGAATTTTATGCGGCTGCTAATTATGGGATTTCTCAAAATATTAGTGTACCTAGGGGAGAGTGAGTATTTTAAGTCCACATCCATTTTATTATCCATATAGATTCAAGTAAGCCCACCAACTGACCACAGTTCATTTACTCTCTTTTCAGATACAATGGAGTTGTTTGCGAAACAAACACTGACCAATATCACATCGACCTGGGACTTCTTGATTTCGGTGCCTTCTATACTGTCATACTCTCAAAGGTGGGTGATAGAGTTCAGTTTCTAGTTAATGTTTTTCTGTAACTTTTACTTTACTGCACAGTTTAAGGTATAGGTTACTGTGTACTTTATAAGGCCTAAAGTCAATGAGAACTTGGCTGAAGTTTTTACAGGCTATTTTTGCTGATCTATGAGATTTTTCACCTACAAAATATTTACTTCATGCAACATTCAGTTCTGCAGCCTCAAGTTATTTCAATGTTTTTGTGCCACATGCATCACCAAATAGACAATAATGACTGTTTAAGCTACTGCATCTGCTCACTTGTTCACTACCAGTTTCTATTTTAATGAATTTAATTTAAGAATAATTTTAAGAATTGAATGCTTTTATTCATAAAGGATGCATTCATTTCACAATATTACTGTTGTAACTGTATTTTTGATCAAATACATGCAGCCTTTTATAAATAAAAAATTAATCTTGACAACCCCAAATATTACATTTTTAAAAAAAGACTGCACAGGCATACATTCAATGAAAATTTCAAAACAACAATCAAAAAATGCACTGCCTTTATGGATCAGTATCTTGACATGCATATGGTTCATTTCCACAGGAAAGTAATGGCCTAACATTCAAAAAGATGGAGGATATCCAAGCCAACGATATTCACATCGCTTGGCAGGTTCCACAGTATGTCTTCATCACTGCTGGGGAAGTCATGTTCTCCATCACTGGTTTGGAGTTCTCCTACTCACAGGTAAGTCCATCAAATGTCTTGTACCTTAAGCTTGTGTCTATAAATGTCATATTCTTATGCTTTTATGGATAGGCACCAGCAAGCATGAAGTCTGTTCTCCAGGCTGGATGGCTTATGAATGTGGCATTCGGAAATGTCATTGTACTGACTGTGGCAGAGGGGGCCGGGATGGAACAGGTAGGCAGTGGGCTTTCTTATAAACACCTGTATGGTTTTAATGCATAAATCCTGCACTGACAAAATGATTTTGAATTTACAGTGGACAGAATTCCTCCTTTTTGCTGGCCTTTTGGTGGCTGTCAGCATCATCTTCTCCATCATGGCCTATTTCTATACTTATGTGGATCCAGACCAGCTGGACAAGATTTTCAGAGAGGACACGGATGATGAGAAAGTGGGAAGTTCTGATAGTAAGAAAAATGAGGCAGTTTCTTTGAATGACATGCCGAAGCAAACCAAGATGTAGCAAAATGACTGGGTTTTGTTATGAACAATTCAGATCCATTAATTGCCAATAAGCTAATTAACTTCTTGCACATCAGACTGTTGTAGCTGTGTTAACACAGATCATTTTTTTCCAGGGCCTTTATGTGGCATTATGCTGATCTCTGCTGCTCAGGGATCATATTTCAGCTGAATTAAGAGAAATTTACTACGCTGAAGGAATTGTTATGCTTTTACTTTACATGGTACCTTACAAAAAGAAATCTGTTTTTTTAGCAGTTACAAAATGTAATCGTTAAGAGTGTGATGAACACTACTGTACCTTTCAAAAGTTTGAGGTCTGTAAGATTGTTGTTTTTGAAGTCTCTAATGCTCAAATAAGGCTGTATGTATTTGATCAAAAATACAGGAAAAATAGTGAAATTGTGAAATATTACGATTTAAATAACTGTTTTCTATTTTGATATATTTTCAAATGTAATTTATTATGCCTGCCATGGCCAAGCTGAAGATTTAGCAGCCATTACTCCAGTCTCCAGTGTCACATGATGCTTCAAAAATCATTCTAATATGCTGATTTGGTACTCTAGAAACATTTCTTATTTTTATCAATGCTGAAAACAACTGCTCAATATTTCTGTGGAAATGTACATTTTTGGGGGGAATTCTTTGATGCATAGAAAGTTCAAAAGAACAACACTTATTAGAAATAAAAAATGTTGTAATGTAAAAAAAAATAATTTAGTCTTTGCTGAATAAAAGTATGAATTTCTTAAAAAATCAAATGTGTAGTCCTAAGTTGAAAAAGTCATACTGACCCCAAAATGTTCAATAAACTTCAATAATATCAGTGTCTAATGCCATTTGCACATTTCAGCTCTCATTTGTACCACCAACTGCTATTTTACCCAGAAATTTGGACCAAAAAAATCAATAATTATGGTGGAAAAACAAGATAAAATTTGCGTTTAAAGTATGTGATGAAGGTAATTAAGCAAATGCGTTGTGAAAAAATTGTATACTACAGTCACAGACATTCCCCTCCAACAGGATTAGATTTCTACACCCGATTTGGCTGAAAAATCATTTTAATTCGCCATGTACTTTTTACAGAAGTTGTGTGAGAAAAACAGAGATTGTTCGATTCAAATGGGATTACAATCACTAGTAAGTTCATATTTATGAAACATAAATTTACCCAACCTCATTAGGGAACAACTACGTCTGTCTGAATAGGGCCTTTGTTATAATGACCATTCAGGTGATGCATACAAAATACATGCAAAATGTGACCGCATCTAGTCTTTGTTTTACATCAATTATTTGGGGTCTGGAAAACAAATGAGTATTACATTGCTGACAACTAATGTGTACAAAAGGAGTGATGGATTCAAGAAAAAATTAGCATGGGATCTTTTATTTATAAAAATACTGTTCATCTAGTACAAATTAAGAGTGAAGTTCTCTTTGTCGACACATGATTAGCCTTGTAACTAGAGTGATGACATCAGGGTGTACCAGAAACTGGAGCATGTCATTGGTTGATATGTGCAAACCAGCACCTCCTCCTGAGGTTCCTGGACTTCCCGCTTCCTGATGTGCATGCGGACCCGATCTTTGATGAAGTTCATTGTCACTTCTTGGTTCGTCTTCATCTCGGGATGTACTTTGGCACCGTGACAGCTCATTGTACCAGTAACAAGATGTGTCCTTTGGGCAGGTGTATGTGGGTTTGTGAGCCAAATTAACAGGAATGAGATGAGGTCCGAAGGGAATCGCGAAGCAGAGAGACGTTGGAGTCTTTAACAGTCCGCTGGCGTCGCATTTTCCCAGCTCTGCTCTGGGTTGGTCTGCAAGTGAGGCCCTGCCTTCAGTATCATCTCTCCTCTTGTCCATACAAGCCTTTACTGCTAGGTTCAAATACTGCATGTTTTCATCATGTGAAGAAACTCCATCCTAAGAAACAACAATCAAGATGACACACTGTACTGTACAGTTAAGCAGTTTCACACAAACATTTAAATTCTGTCATTTTTGGCATTCCAATCCCATTTCAACATGTTTCTCATACAAATAATCTCTCATCATACGGCTTCAGAAGACCTGAAATGCAAAATGGTATCACCGTTTGCAGAGATACTTCAAAATGTCTCCTTTTTGTCATGAAACAGCACATGGGTTTAAAATTACATGGTGTTCAGTAAATATGACATCTTCATTCATTACATAAATATTCCCATATGCTATTCATGTAAAAAAAACATAATAGATAAGCAAATTATTTATTAGGAAACTTGGCACTGACCTGAGTCACACTGCACAACATATTGTCCTAAAATATTGTTCAGTATAAAATCAAATGTGTGTATATACTAGACTAAAGATAATGTCATGTATCTGTCATCACTTACAGTATTATAGATTCACTTTTTGTGAGTTCAGACCTATATGGAATGTATACTTTTAAAAAACGGATTTGTCATTACGCATAAACTACAAAAACCTGGTGAGTAAAACTCTCTTAATTAAATGGTTGCCAGTTCACCAAAAACGTACACTGCCATTCAAAATTTGGGGTCTGTAAGATTTTTTTAAATTTATTTTGAAAGTCTCTTATGCTCACCAAGGCTGCATTTATTTTATTTAATTTTTTATAGAAATAGAGGAATATCGTGAAATATTGTTACAATTTCAAATATATTTTATTATAGTTTAAAATGCAAGTTATTCTGTAATAGCAAAGCTGAATTTTCAGCAGGCATTACTCCAGTCTTCAGTGTCACATGATCCTTCAGAAATCATTCTAATATGCTGATATGCTGCTCAAGAAACATTTCCTAGTGCTTAAAATGTTTGTGGAAACAAATTTTTTTCAGGATTCTTTCAGGAATAAAAAATGAACAGCATTTATTTAAAATAGAAATCTTTTGTATCTGTGTCTGTATGTGCTGGAGTGAGTACCTCAGTAGGATTGAGCCAGCGGTCGTTGTTGTCTAAGCTGGGGGAACTTTTTAGGGCACACACAATAGTCTTAGTGAGAGCTTCTCCTACTCTGGCCTCATCATCCATGTCCTACGGCACAGCGAGAATGCAGCCTGCTGATTTCAGCATCTCATTTTGATGAAAAAAGCAATGATATTTTATAAGAAATAATCCAGCAGAGGTATAAAGTGTTTTACCATCTCAGTCCAGGAGTTCACCCTGACAGTCACTGGATCCACTGACTCCACATAGTGCCACCAATGTCTGGGGACAAACAGAACCTGATGAAAGATAACAGCACAGCAGTCAGTCAAAACTCTGAAGATATTAACAGCACGTCAAAAAATGACCTGCTGTGCGTACTTATATTAAGTGAATGTACAGTAGGGGTGCACTATAGTGACCGCTATTGAAAAATAATTTTCGGTTTATCAGTGAAAAGTTAAATTATTGACTTGAATTTCAGATGCTCTTAGTACTTTGTTCCTCTTTTGTTTTGACAGCAGCACTCAAGCTGCATGAACTACAAAAACTGTAAAACCTGATGATTATGTTCCGCACGCAGAATGATCCAAAGATGTGCATATTGTAATAGTATGTACCACCAGGTTGCAGCTGTGCTCTGTATAACATCCCATCATTTGGGTCATAAAAAAAAATCAATATCCTAGCAATATTTATGAGACTAGATGAGGTCAATCGATTTTCACATACAGTGGTTTTTAATCCAAGCAAAGTCTCTATAATAATAACAAAGGAGTAAACAAACGTAGCCAAATGTCAGAAACAGATCCATGGAAAAGACAAAGTGAGCACTCAGTGAATGTATTATTTTTAGAGAGGGTTTATTATTTAGAAAGTATTTATTAGTAATTTGAATATCCGAGTTTTAATTTTTGTTAAAAGTTTTAGTAATTGTGTTATGTGCTTGTCATTTGTTTTATATTTATAATATTTTAAATAATTGTTAACATTTATTTAGCTTTTAAGTTTTTTTTTTTTTTTTAGCTTTAGTCATTTTATTTTATAATTCATTTGACTTTATTTCAGCTTTATGTCAATTAACAAAAACAATTATATGTAGTTTTAATTTTAGATAACAATAACAAAACTGGTTTCCTAAGACTGTAAAACAAGAATACAATTGAATACAAGTATGAGTCTTTCAGAATACAGAAAACGGTAAATATGCTCGAGGCACTGAATGTAAATCACATCCTGAAAGATTCAAAACTGCTTTTTCCACACATGCACCAGATGGTTAAAACCATTTTTTCCAGAACTCAAGGTACATTGCAAATACAAAAGTTCTTCTGGTGATTTTTTTCCCTGTATTTGCAGTGAGAGGCAGTGGAGCAGTGTTAGCTCTCTCAGAGAATGGAAGTTTGTGTCTCTCGTCTTCATTAGTATGCTGTGAAAAGTGTGAGTGCTCCCGGAGAGTACGCTCGCTGTGTTGGACCGCCGCTAATTGCCTTTCCACCGTCTCGCCTCTCAAAGAGCTTGATCAGAGAGGTTTCACACACGCTGCTGGAATCTGAAGGAGGGGGATGTGCTACAAAACACACACAGCTTTATTCTGCTGCTGTGTGATTCATCTACGAGCCGCTAAAATTCACACATAGGAAACCGATTGTTGTGATACAGGATCCAAACAGACACTCAGGGAATGTTATATTGAATGTCTTGGAAACATACCATCAATGACTTCACTCTACAGTAATTTATGGACCAATCTTGACTGATTTTGCATTTGTTACGATTCAAGCAAGCCCTTCTTTATTTGCAAACAACTTGTGATTACACATTTGAAATGAGCTTTGTGGACAATTGTGATAAATTAAATTAGATCATTTTAATTAAATAATTTAATAATAATAGATATAATTTACTTTTTTTTTTAATAATTACAATAATGATAATTATCATAATAATTTATTAATAAAATAGAAAATTGTTCATTACAAAATGGATAGTTCGGGTCCTTGATTCTGATTGGTTGAGCCGCGTTCGAAGCTGTTGTAAATTACTCTACAAACATACACCTTTGTTTACTTTGTGTGTTGCTTGGCAACCACTTTGTTGCAACCACAACTGTTTCTGAGGAACTACATTGTTTGGTGGAAGAATACTGTTTTTATTAATACCATTACACTTTATTTGCTCTGTTTTATTTTGTGAAACCTTTCTACGTATATGGAATAACCGTTTTATAAAAGCAATAAGCCCCGTTCCTAACAACGCCCCTTAGCTGTTATAAATTCACTGTAAACCACGGCTTCTTGGAGCTTTTGCTTTATTTTATTATGGGTGATTTGAAGGTAATAGTAAAGGAAACTTCTTTAATACTGTTTAAAAAAGCATCCTAGGATATAAAAATACTTCCCATTTGTGT